TGCTACCAGTCACTCTTGGAGACAACTTTTCCAGTATCCTCTATCAAGTTTAGCCCTGCGAGTGGAAATACAAACCTGGAGATATAACCTCTGCTTTCTGAGCCTGCCAAATGTATTTTACTTTTTAATCTTAAGGACACTGTGCCAAGGTTTCTTTGAGCAGATGCTATTCTCTTCCTCAGCCTGGGTCAAAGAACAGGGAGAAAATGAAGCTGCCATTGTCACCAGCTCATTATACCCAGACCAGCTCTTTCATGAGACAAAGCCCAGCAACTCCCTCTTTGCCAGTGTTCCACACCTACTTGAGATGCTTCTGTTCCTGGTCTGTTGGTCTAGCTCACCCTCATCTCTTAAATTTCTTCCCTTCCAATGTGTTTTTGGGTTGTTTGTGAAGGATATGCCTGTTTGACAAGGCCCCTGCCTCTTATGCCCAGTGGATCCTGGCAGATGGAACCAGACATCAAGGCTCCTGTGAACATGCCTAAAGGCACCTCATGGGGATGCAGCACAACTGCAGCCTTTCCTCCTTCCAGTGGTGCTGATGCTGGAAGCAAATGATTTCTGGAACAAGCCCTGATATGAGGCAGCAAGTGCGTTGGACCTTATAGTAGAGGAACCACGTGTTTGAGTTTCCTGCCGCATGAATGAGGCTGGCCAGGCCTGACTCATCACTGAGGCACTCTGGAGAAAGAGAGGGACTCAGCTCATTTCCTTTGCATTTTATTTGCTCCTGCACATGTTGTGATCCCAAAAACATTAGGGAACAGAGGAGCTGCATACCAGGACAGCGAGTGGTAGGAGGAGAAGAGGTGGAGAAAGCTGGAGGCTAGGAGAAACCTTACCTCCTTCCATGCACTTTCCCCATTTCTCCACCATTCTTTGTGCTCGCAGCTAAAGCACAGCTGGGGCACATGGGTGCTAGCAAGGTGCACAGAAAGATACTGCAAAGGGTGCTGGAAGCCAGTGGGACAGGAGCAAGGAAGATAAAATATAAATGTTAAATGAATGGAAGTAGTAGATAAGTGAAAGTAGATAATGTTCACTGCTAGTATGTGTTTCCATGTTTCATTGTCCTCCCTAGATGCTAAACCAGACACATTCCTGACTGATATAAAAATATCCTTGAAGATCTGGCCATTCTTATCCCCATCCAGAGTAGAAGAAAGCAGGAAGGGAACTGCCTTTCTGAGTCACAGTTTATTGGAAGCCATATGTTTGCATGTGTGTTTCCATGGGTTACCTATGCTTATGTGAAAAGGTCTCATAAGAATAACCCTATAAGCTATCAAGAATGAAGGGAACCCAATGGCATTTCTTTCTATTCCCAAAACAAACCTTGAACCCCAGCATTTAACCCCCAGCCAACTCTGTCCCATCTGGAGAACAGACTATAGATGCACTGCCCAGGCCACCAGTCCCTGCTTTGGTGGGCTAACATCATTGCAGGGCTAACATCCCATCCCTTGTTGCACTTCAAATCACTGAAGTCTTCCTGAGCAATTTTTCTTCTCTCAGCCTGCAACATTTCTGCTCAACTGTGATCATAGCAGCAGCAGCAACCACAGCGTGGGAGGTAGCAGGTACAGTGTCAGACTGGAAAGACTTTCACACCTTAGGTTAAATCACTGCTTTCAGAATTGATTTATGGAAATAATTATTCATAAATGGAGGGATTTCCAGGCAAACATATGGGTTTGTAATGGAGGAGACAAGTACAGTCTTGCAATCCTACTTTTCATATGGCCATCACTGCAGGGTCGTGGAACATCATCCCAGGGGGAGGAGGTAAAACAGGGGTCAGCACAGAGTGTGCATGAGTTCCTGTTTCCCTTGCCCAGCCTCGGCCAAAGCAGAGGCCCCAACCAGAGCTGCAGATGTAGCTTCCCAGATACCAGCAGCCCCAAACTTCTGCCGAGTTTGGCCTAGCCATTCACCTTAGATGCTCAGCTCTGCTTGGAAAAGGGAGAGGTTCTGCCTTGTGGTCTTTCATGGAATAACAGGCAATGTCTCAGTAGTGCAGAAGCAGGAGAACACTTTCACTGCAGTGTTGGGGGATGTATCCGAGCAAAGATGTTGCCTGTGTGAAGCTCAGTCAAGACTTTCATCCTCACTATCTTCCCTGAAGACATAGATAGAACTGATGTCTCCATAGTTTGTGGTGCAGTGGATGCCAGAGCCAGGGAGGGGGAAATTGCCCGTAATCTAGTTCAGCTTTTCTTTAAAATAATTAACACTGAACACTTATGAGTCTTGGGGACATACCTCTCCCACACCTACCTAAAGGATTTCACTGTTGCCCAAGAAGGAAATAAAAAGACATCTCACACTTTTCATCTCTTGCCTAATTTTAAAAGTATTTTTAGAATGTTTGTGGAAATCCTATCCTGGGATTAAAGGTGATTACATACAGATCACAAACTATTTCATAAGGGGAGGTGTCTCCTAGGAAGATGGATGTATCTGAGCAACCATTTTTGGTGAGATGGCATGACTCTCCATGTCAGTCTTGCCTTTTTCCAGCACTGTGTAGGGTTGACTGTTCTGTCAGGTGAAGTTACCATGAATCTTTAGCTCTACAAGATTCCAGAGCTGTCTTGATTTAGTTAATGTTAATTGTTACATTGATGCAGTTGTAAAAAGGTGAATATATATATGTATGTGTGTGTGTATGTGCTAAACCCATAAACTATGCCAACTCTCAGAAAAAAAATACTTTATTAAAACTAAACTATACAGGTCTGATTCTACTTCTACTAATAAAAATACTACCTTGATACTGTGGAAAAACGATTCAAATAAATTGTGTGAGTTCTTTGTTTTCACATGAGTGCACAAAGAAAATCAAAACTGAATGCACTATACTACAGAAAGGACAGGCAACACTTCAGCCACAGTGTATGCTGCTCACCCAGGCCAGTGTGCTCTACAAATCATAGCATAAAATCGTGGTATTTTTTGTGGGAGACATACTTCCTGCAGCTAGATCTGGTTTTATAGTGGCTCCCAAATTGCAATTGTCTGTCAGTGCCAGACATTGTAATAGGTATGTGGAAATTGTTCCACTGCATGTTACAAGTGACAGATTAATTTTAATGGGTAGTGATTAGAAATACTGAGGTTTAAAAACGGTTTCATGTCCCCCAAAAATTTAAGAAATATTACTTTAATTACTATGGTGTTTTGCTTCTTAAGCAGAACAACTTTATTCGAATTTTGCTTATATAATCATTAGTAAAAGTTCTCACTCATTGAATGCGTTTTGATGAATAAGGATATACAGTCTCGGATGATAAATTTCTCAGGCATGTTGCAGGAAAAATTACCAGAAATGCTCCTGTTTGCACACAGACCTTAATGTCCCCAAAGGAAAGGAAAGCAACAGACAAATTACAACTTCAGTTCGAGTCTCCTCCTTAGTGTTAAAACTCTCATGTAAGATGGGAAAAAAACCAAAGAGGTGTGCCAAGCTACTTCCTCTTCCCCTCATTTTCAGCCGAGGGACTGGTATCATCGTCTGGTCAGGGTGTGACAGGCTGTCTTCCTCCTCCTCCTTTTCTTCCCCCCACGTCCCGGGCCCTCAGCGCGGGAGGGATTGTGGCGGTCCCCGAGGGATGTTCGAGTGGCTGCTGCTGCTGGGTACAGGGCAGTAACCTCTCCGTCGAGGAGAGGAGGCAGATCCTCCTGACTGACAGAAAACCGGACAGTTTCTGCTTCCTTCCAAGGGTTGTTTTCTGTTTATAGTTTGGATGTGATTTGTTCCCCACTTAGTTGAAATTCTCGTCGTTATCGGGACGGGGAAGCTGTTCCTTACTGCACAGAAGGCTTGGCCCGGGGCGGCCGGCGCGGGTCCCCGCAACCCCCCGCAGAGGGTTTCCCCGCAGGGAAGCCCCGGCCAGGCTCTCTCTCCTCTCCAGTCCAGAGGAGCTGGCCTTTCCCGCACGCCAGGACGGGACAAAAATAACACCCAGGAAAAGTGCTCTGCAGTGCCTCGGGAGGCAGAGGGCCCCCAGCCTCTGCTGGCGTGTAAAGTCGCGTCTGCAGAGAAAAAACACGCGGAGCCGAGCTGGGACAGGAGCTTGTGCTGCAGGGAGGTTTCTCCTCTCTAAGGCAGAATCCGAGCTTGCAGAAGGGTTGGAAGAGAGGCAAGAGCTTTTCCCCAAAGGACAATGTACCTGGGACCAGCCCTAGCCCCCCAGATACGTCCCACTCTCGGCTCGCAGGCCGATCTACCTCTGTTCGTTTCCCGGAGATTACCAGAGAATTTTGGTTTGCACCTCTGGGCTCGCACTCGCCCCTCGAGGAGGCGAGTGCAGCCTTGCGCACCGCGGAGCCCCCCGCGGAGCCCAGACGGTCACGGGCAGGCAGCTCAGAGTCCCTACAGCCGCTGGCGAAGCCCGGAGGAGGGTCTGGTTGCCTATGCCCGTCATTGGGAACAGATCATCGGTGTAGTCAAATCCTGCCCGCAGGATACTAAGGCTTTTTTTTTTTTTTTTTTTTTTTAATATTTAAACTTTTTCTCTCCTTTTTTTTTTCTTTCTTCCCCCGCACCCCCCGCCCCTTTCTTTCCCAAAGACAAAAGAGAACGAAAGAAACCAGATTCCAGTTTCCAAAGGAGTAAGTAAAAGTCCCGAGGAGTCCTCAGTAGAGCCAATGCCCTGGTGCCACTAGAAGGGACGGGGACGGCGGCGTGCCAGCCCGTGGATGGTCCGGGATGCTCTGCTCCGCGTCCGCGCTTGTGAACCGACGGACACGGCGGGACGCGCGCCCCGACCGGGCAGCCGTTCGAAGTAAGGCGGCGTGCTCTCGTTTCTCCTCCGCTTCCCAGACCGCTCCGTGCACCCAGGGTTGCACACACAGTCGGTGGCCACCCGAAACCCGCCTTCCCCAGGGGAAGCTGCCCCGTAGGGCTCATTGTGGTGCGGGTTGCTCGGGGGAGCGGGGCACAGCTCGCCGCCGTCTCGGCGGCTCCCTGCGGCCTACTCCGGCCCTGCGGCCCACAGTGAGCCTCTCTTTGTTACAGCTGAACATTTAGTTTTTGGAGGACGCGAGCGTCGGAGTGGAGGCAGAGATTCCCCGGGGGAAGGCAGGAGAGCGTCGGCACGGCACGGCACAGCAGGGCGGTGGGAAGCCTGTGCCAGCCTCTCGGCTCTTTCCCCGATTCCATCCTTTTCCTCGTCCCGGGGCGTGGGGCTCCCCGCGCCTCATCGAGAGTCCTGCTGTCTTCTGGGTGCTAGGCTGGGGGTGAGAAGGTCCCTGGAGGCCTCCGAGGTCAGGTTCCCGGCGGGGCACGGCTGGAGATCCTCCTTGTTCTGGAGCTCTCCGGAGGTCACCACGCAGTCTTGCTCGGGGTCATTGCTGTTGCCCGCCCCGCGCTTTTTGTCCTCTTCCTTCTTCCACTTCATCCGCCTGTTCTGGAACCAGATCTTGATGTGCCTTTCGGTCAAGTTCAACATGACAGCCAACTCCACCCGCCGCGGCCTGGAGATATACTTGTTGAAGAGAAACTCCTTCTCCAGCTCCAGCAGCTGTGCCCGTGTGTACGCTGTCCTCGTCCGCTTGTTCTCCTCCGGTTCAACTACACAGGACCCCCCTGGAGAGAAGCGAGAGTCAGTCTCGGCCCGCCTGGGTGCCCCATCGGGCTAGGGGGGCCACATCCCTGCACCTCTGCACGGAGTGGAGGACACGCGGGGGAAGCAAGCGGGGTGAAGGAGAGGCCTCGGGGAGCTCTCCGGCTGGGCACCGGCACCGCAGTGAGGTGGTGCTAGTGGCTGCAGTCACAACTGCTGCTATTTTATTTTATAATAATTTAATATTTTTTAACAATAATTCGGATGAGATTTTCAGGGAAGCGCCGTCCCTCGAGCTGTGGGAGACGCTCACGTGCCACCGTTTGCGTGTCACAGAAAGCTCCGAAGGGGTCCCGGATCCAGGGTTACGATTGCTTGCATTCGTGTTAAAAAAAAAAAAAAAAAAAAAAAACAAAAACAAAAACAAAACCAAACCAAAACCAAAAACAAACAAAAAAAACCCGAACGAAAACCAAACAACAATCCGCCACACACAGAGAAATCAAAACGAAAAAAAATAACTCCTCCAAAACACCACCACCCCCGAAACCAACGCACCAAAAAAAAAACCTCTAAAACAAAGCAACAATAATTGTTGGGCCTGCCGGGTCGGGAGCGGGACTGGAGCCCCTTCGTTTCGCCGTGTTGGTGAAACTTTGGGTTTCTTGTTCCCGTAAAAAGCGGTAGCAGCTCAATCGCCGTTCCCAGCGTGGCCGCCGCACTCCTGCGTCGGCACTGGGGAGCAGGTGATAGAGGCGGCTCATCGAGAGGGGCCGGAGCTGAGCACTGAAACTCCGGGCCGCTTTTGCCAGGTCCAGACCCCAGCTGGTCACGCTTTTGGGGGTGATATCATCTGTAGGGAACGGTGATTTAAACAGATAGCAAGACACAGTCATTTCAAGAGTTCTACGCGGAGTCTCCCACTGCTCATCTTTCTATTCCCATGATTTTATATTTATTTATTTATACAGTGTTTGTAAGTATAAACTTATGTATATAACTTATATATGTATTTAAATATATATTTAAATATATATGTAATGTTTACAGATAAAAATCCTATTATGTGTGTATATGCATAAATATATATTAAAATCAATGTGTATATGTATAAAAATATTTGTAAATCTAAACCTATGTATAAACCCGTATGCATGTGTTTGTAGCTGGAAAAAAAAATTGTTCTATTACTGTAAAATAAACTAGTGCTACTGGGAAGGCGGAACGCCCGGGATCTGTCGGAGGCCGGGCACCAGGAGACGGCCGGCATGCCCCGGGCCGGCGGCGGAGCCCGGAGTCGGGCACAGCGGGTGGCACAGGGCCGGGCTCGGCCGCGGCCTCTCTGGTCACCTTTCCCCGTCAATAACAACGCAAAGCCCCGCAGCTTCCATGGACGCCTAAATCCCAAGGGTTTCCACTAAAAATAAATCCTGGGGGTATATAGTTTGACACATACACAGTACAAAATACGTTGGGGTTTGGCTACGAGGGCTGCGTCGGCACAGCGCGGGGCCCCTTTAGGTCTGCGGGAGTGCTCCGGCAGGAACGACCCGGTGCTGCGTGTGCCTGTACACACATCTCACGGACCGAGCAATGCACGGCCCCTGCCTGCACCTTCCGGGAGGGCTGGGGGGAACAGGGGAGAGCTTTAGGCTTCCACGGGGAAAGTTTCTCTTTTCTGCTGGTTTTGTCATTCCTTGGGTACAGGAGACAGAGAAAGAAGATGTAGTTCAAAAGTTTGGGGTTTTTTCTTTCTTTTTCTTTTTTTTTTTTTTTTTTTTTTTTTTTGGTATATTATTGTTCCAGAAGTACATTCAACTTAATGAAAATTATCTGATTTTCTCTCCTCCCCTCCACCTCCTCACTGGCACAATCTCTCCCTCCGTGTCCGCGGCGTGAGACAGCGTGCTCTCCTAACCCTTGCCGGCAGATACGCCTCCCTGGAGATTGGGGATCGCCGCCTGTTCTTCCCTCCCCCTCGGTCTGTCCCATGCAATTCCCAAACTATTTCATGGTGATTTTAATACTCCGGTCCTTTTTTCAACTGTCTATTTGAACAAAGCCATTAATATAATATTTGCCCTATAGGTGTGACGGAGGCGCAGGACACGATAACATTGTGAGGGCAGAGACAGAAATATTGTTGGGCAGCGGAACTTTCTGCCTAGATAGAGTTTCTTCCTCTCACTGGCAGCTCTGTTTCGTTTGTGCATTGTTTTCCCTGCCGTGTTTTTTTCACTTGGAAAGGTGCAATTATGGCTAAAACCCTCCGGGAAGCAGGAGGGGTGGGAGAGAGAGACCAGGACGGGAGATGGGCTCTGCACAGAGGAAAGCCTAGAGGCAGCGGAAAGGGGATCGGCGGCTGCTCCGGGGGCTTGGGGGCTGCTCCGCGCCCGCACGGTGGGGGCTGTCCCCTGCCCGCCAGCCCTGCCTGCCGCTCCCCGCCTGCTCCACCTCACAGGTGCCTCCGCACCCCTGGCTCGCCCTCCGCGGACCCGGCCCCTGCGCGGAGCTCACCGCGGACACACCGTGCTCGGCGAGGCGGCAGCGCCCAGGAGGCACTTGCACATTGTCTCAACTTGACCACAATTAGTTAATTGGTGAAAAATAATTCGTTAATAATTGCTCAGGCGCAGGGAGCGGTGAGCCCGCCGGCACGGACGGGAGTGTCGGCTCCCTCCCCGGCGTTAAACTCAACGGCAGCAGCCGTAGAGCAGCGGGTCTTGAGGGGAGGGTTGAGAGGAAGCGACCCTCCAGGACCTCTCCACAGTACATCCGAGCGGTGGGAACAGGACCGGTGCAAGTGAGGGTTCCTGACCGCCGAGAGGGAGAGAAGCGGGGGAGCAGAGGCAGAGGGAGGTGATGGGGCTTACCGGTCCACTGTCCCTTCCAGGCGTGAGATTTGGTGGACTTCATCCAGGCGAAAGGCACCTGCACTCGGGGCTCCTCTACAGCTCCCGTGTCCGCCCCGTCTGAGAAAGGCAACGCGTCCTGGTGGGGAGGAGGAAGATGAGCGTGGTGGTGATGGTGATGAAGGTGGGAGACCCCGGCATCCTCAGTGATGGGGGGCACCTCGTAAGGTGAAATGTCTGGCGGGCTGCCTTGCTCGAGAGCCCCTAAGGCGCTGGAATAAGGAGTCTGTTGCTGCCTGCCCATGTAAAGGCAGGCGGGGGGACTGGGGTTGTAGTCCTGCGCCTGAGCTCTTTGAAACGCGCACGACTCCTTGTAGAGCTGCGTCGAGGCGTAATACTGCTCCTCGGTATTCATGGCGAGCGGAGTCAGGGGGTTCTCTCAGCTTAGGGACACATAGGGCTGCTCCCTCTCCCGGAGCCCGGGATGCCTCTTTGACAGCTGGCAGCCCCGCGGGCCCCACCGCCCTGCCCGGCTCCCGCCGCCTCCCCATAGGCGCCTCTCCCCCACGTGAGCCCTCCCGCAGCCCTCCGGGGCGGGGCGCGAACCGTAAGAGGCCACCCGGTGTGGCCCCGGTCCCGCAACCCCCTTGCCCTCAGTCGGGCCGGCCCCAGGACCCCTTGCTCTTCTGCCGGGTGCCGCTCCCTGCTTTGGGATGAGGAGCCCCGCGGCGAGGGATTTACGGGGCCTGGTAGGGAGTCGGGGGATTGCCCCGAAGTGCAGGGCGCTCCGGGAGGGATGGTCCCTAAATACACCTTTTTCCTCTTCCACTCGCTTGCCCAGGAGCGGCTTATAAGCCAACACCCCTCGGGCAGGGAGAGGAAATCCCTCCGAGGGCTGGGTAGATTCGGCTCCTTGGCATAAGGGTACTTCGGGCTGCGGGGGCATCTCGGCTAAGGATGCGGTGTCCGGGGACGAGCAGAGTGCGCCGAGCGGGCGCTTCCTCAGGGGGACCCGTATACCAGAGCCCTGGGTGAAGGCCAGGACCGGCTTTTTGCCCTTTCACCCCTGCCTGGGGGGATGTGGTCGGTGAGGACCACAATGCTATCGCCAGAGCGAGCGATAGGCAGTGGATTGTTTGCCCAAGGGGTAAATTTGGGAGCCTTTCCCGCGGCTTGGGCTGCAATGTGTTGACCCTCGGAGATAATCTGCTCCAAGCTGGTGCTGGTTGACTAGGTGACGAGGCTATGAGGAGGCGGAGAGCTACCGAAAGGGACAAAGATCATTTCCCTGCCTCCCTGCACTCGGCCCGGCCGCCGCTCTCTCCGGCTCGGGCGCAGGCACGCTTCCTATGTGCCCGGCCCGCCTCCTTTCTCCGCCGCTTCCCCCGACACCGGGGCTTCGCCGCCGCCGTCGGGGCGCACACCCGCCCCTCCGTGTAGGGCGCGTGTGGTCGGCCCGACTCGGTTTGGCTCGGCTCGGCCAGTGACGATGCATACCCCGAGCGGCGGGACAGCAGAGTCCCGGTACTTCGCTCCTGCGCCCGATTCCGTGGGATCATAAACCCGCCCAGTCCATTACACTTAAAATGAGTTTCCGCTCTGAACTCACACGGGTCCCTCATCTCTTAGAAAGCACACTGAGCCTTTGATTCAATATTGAGCCATTAAGCGATTGCTTTCCCGAGCCATTTAACAGCAGCTCTTATGGATAAATAAACAAAAAAGGCTGTAAACCAATTATAGTGCGGATAGCGAAAAAGTATTTTATTAGCGGGAATTACCGATAGACATCGCTGCTGCTCGGGCTCCCCGCGCCCGGCACCCGCCCCCTCCATCCCCTGGCATGCTGAGCAGGGTACGTGTCCCCGCGGGGCCCGCAGCCGGTGTGCGGCCAGAGGGAATGCGCAGCTCCGTTAGTGGGGATTTCTCCCCGCCAGCTCAGCACGCCCGCGGTGCCTCAGCTTACATCTCTTGCAGACACGGGTGTCCTTTGATCTGGAGACGTCTTGTGTTCTCACCTCAGCCCAGCATCACCAGCTCCTTCCCCAGAGATCTGCTCCCTGCAGCACTTACTTCTCCGGGTTTTCCACGGGGAACCGGCGCGGACAAACAAACGCGAGGCCATAAAACCCAGAGCAAATTGATTCATCTCCAGGGAGGACCATTACCCGATGTCTTAATGCGGTCCTCTCCATATAACGAACGTCTCCAAACAGAGCAAACACTTCCCCCTACAAAGCAAATGAATTTCGTATAATTTAGAGCTAATTCTCTTTCATTCTGCCTGCGTGAGCAGTCGATAAGGACACGCTTTGCCGTTCTAACAACGAGGAGGTGAACTGCAGTGCAGGAAAAGGGCTCCGCTGGGTATCCCGGCACTGGGGACCCCGTCCAGGCCCTGGGGGGGGGTGGTGTCCCGTAGCCGGGGGTCCACGGGATGAGGAGCTGACCCCAGCTGGAGCCCGAGCCCAGGGATTTCCACTGCCTGCCTCCTCCTCCTCTTCCTGGGATGTAATCACTGATACTTGGCTTAAGAGTCCTTCCACAGCTGTGGGTTCCCAGGAGAAGTTTTTGAACTGTCAGTGGGTCCCATCCAAGTACCCACTTGATGTGGAAAAAGGGCAATGGAAGAGGCAGGTGAGAGTGATGGGAATGACCAATGTCCCTGCTTGCCTCAGAACCGGGCTCTGCAGACATCGCTGCATCCATACATATCACCTCAGACAGTCGCAGCAGGGTGTGCATGTGAGATAAGGCACCAAACATCTTCTACCAAACTCCCAGAATTTTCTACTCCAAGAATTTCCTGAGCACTGTGAATGTTTTAGTCCTCAGATGATTTTGCCACACTTTAGCTCTCCCCTGGAACCATATGTAAACATTTTGCCTCCCACCACTTTGTGGCGAAGTGTTCCCCAGATTAAGTGCTGCTGTGTGTGACACTGCTGACCCTGCACCTGGCTGCATTTAATCAGTCTTAATTTTCCAACAAGAAGAGCCTTGAGATGTGTAGGCACAATGTAAGAAATTAAAAGGTGCATCATTTCCTCTAGCTCTCATGTAGACTTTGAATGGTGAGCCCAGAGTCTCCTGTCTATATATTTTCATCTCTCTGCTGAGAATTTACCCTGTCCTTACTCCCCAAGTCTTTGGTTTTGACAGGCTTGGAGTGACAAGAAACTTGGCTGTCCTCAGTCTGAAAGTAACCATGTGCAGAAAAGATGTCTGGTACAAATATTATTACCACTGATAGATGTACAGCCAAGTTTTAATTATTGAAAACAGAAAAGTAAGGGACACGTTGCACACTAAAACAAATTAATAATGGATCAGGTAGATTCTCCCTCACCTTAAAGCCTGTCTGGACATATGCTCCAGTTCAGCTGGAAGTCCTGTATTTTACCTGCTCTAGGAAGTCTTTAAGGACTCTAGAAGCCCCTCACAATTTGGGGATACTTATGACCTGTGTGTTTAGGTCACCCAGCTTTATCAATGAGCTGGAAAGTTCACACTTCCAGCTCACTTTTGTCTCTGATGCGTGAGCATGGTCCCACAACCATTACAATACAGTTGTAGTTCAGGCTAGAAAAAACCTCTAGATTTGAATATCTGCAGAGAAGGAGACTCCACAACATCTCTGGGCAGCCTGTCCCAGTATTCTGTCAACCTCAAACCAAGGAAGTATTTTCTCATATTCAAGTGGATCTTTCCATGTTTCAGTTTGTGCCTATTGCCCCTTGTCTTGTTGCTGGGTACCACTGAAAAGTCTGGCCCCATCCTCTGACACTCACCCTTAAGATATTTGTCTGCATAAATAAAAATGCTTATATTAAGCTTGCTTTTCCAAGAGATTAAACAAAAATGAATCTATGATTCTATACCAGTAATTGAAGGGTGGTGGTGACAGCAGCAATGTTAAGTAGGACAGCAGGTTGTAATTATCCTCAACACAAGCGCAGGAATTTATGTATTCAAGCACCAGTAACAAATGTTTCAGGTACTCAGCTGTTGCCATCCTGCAGTAAGATCACACAATAACTGCACTGCAATACTTGAATTGCCAAGTATGTTTTAAGGACTTGTTAAGATCTGATCACATTCTCTAGCCTGCTCTTCGCCTGACAGAGAAGAGGCAATCTGTGTGGTTTAGTCTTATTCTGTATTATATGAAGCCTAAACATTTGAAATATAATACAAATCTCACTGAATAGCAAGGAGTTTGCAAAGCAAAGTCACTTACTTAAAGCAATATCTATGTGGTTTTAAAATATATGCCAACATGTACAACATTCCTCTTGAAATTCAAGGGCATTTCCAACGTTCTCACCTTTAAATGGTTAATATAGGGGCTTAATGTGAGTCACTATATTTTGGAAGTCTTGCCCACTTCTTCCCCAGTAGTGTCTGACAGGTATCACCACAGGCTGCTGAGATCAGTGAAATGTAAAACCATCTGGATGCAGTATAACTTTTTTCCCCTAGGAAAGGTGACAGGAGCATTTCATTTGCCTTTCAATGCAAGTAATTTGTGAACCCCTACTAAATTATTTCCCTTTACTTTATGACCAATGATAGTTTCCTCATTCCTCCCACCATTCTGACTGTCTAATTAGAGTATAAAATAGTAAGGAGTATAGTTTAGTCACACTTCCCTAAAGTAATCTGGCTTGACTTTCTATATCTGTATAATATTTAACGACTTCTCAGTGCTTAACACCTTTTGTGGAATCCACATTTAGACAGAAAAGAAGTACTGAAGGTGAGTGAAACATATTCATGATAATCTTTTTCTCTCTCATTTTTCTCTCTCATCTGTGCTCAAACCAACACAGGAAAACTGTATCTGTGACAAGGGACCACAGTGGGAGAAGAAGCTGACTGGGAAACAGAGCTTTCCCAGGGATTGATTTTTAACCCCCCACCATGGCTGTATCTAGCAGAAAGGTAACCTTTCACAAAGCTGGTTAATAATCAATAACCATGTGAAAACAAATCTGTCTTTCCCTCTCAGAACTAACGATAAAAATGAGAGCATGAATTATTCCACCTGCCCTAAAGTAAGACTGGTTCATCAGTTTTGGGGTTTTTTTGGCAAGAGGCTTTTTTAGGTCTCAGAGTGATTCAGCATAGGCACACAGCAGCTCCAGTTTGCTCTTCCCACCGTGCATCAGCTTCTTCACACTGCAGGCGTGGGCCACAGCTTGAACTGCAGGAAGACAAGTTTATGTAAGCCATTTTGAATAAGACCTTGTTTAGCAAATATATAGGGAAGATGCGTTGGGAAGTCTGAGAATAGTAGAGGGTCTTATATGCGTAATCTCTTTTTACTCTTTCTATTTTACACCTTTTAATTTTTTTTTCCGTGTCCCCCAATATTAATGATTTCATTTTCTGGTAGGGATGGGAAACACAATTTCATTGTCTTGTAAGAAGAGTTGAGGAATTACTTTTGAATACTGTGAACCTTCCCACTGAAAACACAGCTATTTCATGTTGTCTGCCTCACACAACTTTCTGTTTTCCAATTAATGTTTATTATACCATATAGGAG